GAAACACTCCATATCCCGGCGAGAGGAAGGAGCGGGCCGCGAACGTCATTTGAACATAGCGTAGGATACGTTTTTCATGGGAAACTTTATTGACAACTGCCATCCTGTCTTATGCTGGACAAAGACATCATTAGGTAACGTTCAGACTTCGCGACGGCGGCGTTTCGGTTTCGCGCGATTATCTATCTTTTAGCTTCCATTTTAGTCTTCTATCTTCCTCATTTCGGTTTTTGCTATTTCGCTGCCGTCCTTTTTCCTACTTTCAAACACATGCAGGTTTTTCTGATGTACGATTTTTGCTGGTTGCGCGCAGGTGCTTAAAGGCATATGGCACGATAATTCATTACGAGGGTTTAAAATGGTAGCAGGGTGCTATATAGCGAGAAAGTGTTGAAAAAACGAAGTGGAAAGGTCAAAAACCTGCGAAAAAAGCCTTCGTGCATCGTTCTTAATGACTCAAAAAGCATTATTGGACGGGTTTCCCCTTAGGCATCCTGCCAATAACCGCTACACTAGATACGGTTGCATGTAAGTAAATCTTACGTGAATCTTATGTGTCTGGAGCCTTTTTCCTCTCCCTCTTTTCAGTAGATCTTCCACAGACCTTTCATTTCGAAGATCTATTTGTGCTATAATGTGATGATGTTGATTGAGTTTATTCCTATACAAGCAGCGTTTTCCTAGGTAACTTCTCGTCTGTTCCTTCATGTAGTCTTTCCTGTCATACAGGTGTTTTGAAGCTCAAGTAACACGCAGCCGCGCTCACCTGAACTCCGGGGTCTGGAGTGTGAATGCAGTAGCAATGAGGGATGTTCTCATAGGACGCCAACTTTACGGAGCCCTGTACAACACTGCCATCAGTGTAACCCCAGATCATGACCGTTGCACCGCACACCTCGCAGAACAGAAGGAGTTTGTGGCAGTACCTGATGCTCCAAATTGCATTAAAAGACATATCAGTGGATCGCAATTTATCTATTTAGCTCAATAATGTTGGAATGAGACAACAAAAAGTAAATCATTATTAATATTACTCGCACTCTTGTAATGATGACGAAAACCGGAAATGATGGATAAGATCACTGAAGGAGAACACATCCTATGGGAAGATAAAGCTGGCAGAAACTCCCAAACGAAATCACCGGTGTTCCCTCTGCAGTTGAAAGTTATGCGCACACTACATGCTAAGCCGTTTTTCCTCAAGGAACTACTACTGAGAGGCTACACAGTAAGGCAGCGTCCAGACTTCGCGTACGCGCGTCACAGCACGTTGCAGCGCGTTGACGCGCGTCATGAGCGCTGCCTTACCTAGAAGATTCCCTGAAGAACAAGGTTGCGAGATTTCTCATCCATTTCTCCAGCAACTCGTCATCAACCCAATATATACATTCAGAAACGATGGCCATACCTATGAGGGCACATGGCCATTACAGATATATGGCGTTATGTTTGTATTGTAGTACAATATCGATTAGAAGAATTATTCTAGATCTCTCACTGCGAAAATCACGCGATTTTCGGTTCACATATGAGAAGCTCTGTGATCGGAAGCTCTTGAGCGATCAACGAGTTCCTGAGGGCAGCAAACTGTCTTGATCAGCCAAGAGCTCCTACTTATCCAATACAATTACACAGTACTTGTATGGCTGAGAAGTGGTAATTTAGAGGGTAAATTTGAACAAATGCGAAGATGTTAGTCGCGATTCGAGGCACAATAACACATCATCAAACGACATACATAGAATATGAACTGCTTCTGAACTATCAAGTAAGTATACATGAACACAACAAAAACATCGAGAGCTCTTCATTTATAAGCGACACGGTACAACACCGGAAAGTTGGAGCAGGAATCATGCATGGTACGGCACAGAAATAGAGCAGAATAAACAAAAGGAGAAGATCGACTTCGCAAAAACTGTGCTTTTGTAATGACACCAGGATCTTCTTCTAATAGGGTCTAGAAAAGGAGATGAATAAGTGGATGGCGAGAACGGGCACGTTCAATGTACACGAACAACTATGTCCTTATTCCACACCGGAGGGAGTGGGCAGATTCGGGTTGCCTGCCGACCTGTGTCCGATACACATATTGAGAAAGCCTTCCTCTCTTTACAAACATTTCGACACTATCACTTCTTGATTCTCTTCACCACTTCGCTCTTTTTAGTGAGATTTCTTAGAGCGGGTGAGATGCCAGCTGGCGGAGCGGTCGTTGTCGATGCTCTGAAACACAGAAATCGTTAATCAAAGCAATAGCGTCCATGAAACCATTGTGAAAAGCAGTTAGGAAACAAAACAACATACTTCTGAGTAGGGAGATCATGTGGTTCTTTTAAGTGAAGCAACTATGTGAGGGTTGTTAACGATATAGGGTGAAGCGGTGTTAAAGCAAACTACCTACACTAATTAATGTTCGAATCAACTGGGAATCTTTCAAGTCCAAACACTGTAATTGTTTCCCCTTCACTACTTGGATTATGCAATTAATTAAATCAGAACTTAAAGGCAGTTGGCACGATAATCCCCAAGACGAGTAGGATTAATACTCCTGGCAGGATAGAATTCCGCGACCCTGGGCAGGCGCTGCATAGCGGTTTCCCCGAGGAAGGTGCCCTTATAAGGGCCCTATCAAGCCACAACATTTACGTCCCAAACGCCCGCCACGCCCGCCCGCCCACAAATGGACGACCGTTCCTGACGCTCGTATTCATTCATTTGCTAAGCAAATTATGAAGCGAAGGGATTGGTATGAAGCGGCCGTGATGCTGCATGCATATATGGGTACACATATGCAGCCGTATCTTCGGTAGCGGTGATTGGCAAGATGCCTACGGGAAACTCGTCCAAAATTGATTTTGAACACACTGAGAACGGAGGCTCCTTCTTCGCAGAATTTTGACCGTTTCACTCCGTTCTTTCGCCATTTCCCCACTATATAGCTCCCTATTTAGGCCGAGCACCAAATCATTGTGCCAACTGCCTTCAAAGCCACGCCCGCGGATCAAACGGGAGGGATTAGTGGCGGGCTCCCAGCGATTGAATGACAAGGGGGTAAGTGATTAAATAGTGGGAAGTAGAAAAAAATATCGGCCTATTAAGATCCAAACCCGTAGGAGCATAAAGAAAAACAGTGCGTAGGCTTGTACGCGTTCTCTTTTGTTGATAGCACAACGATATTAGCCCCCCCCCTTTATTTCTAAATGGAAAGAGCGAATACCCGCACCACTAAGGAAGCTCCAAAAATGAGCAGTGTGCGTATGGTCACCGGGCGATCGCGGTGGGGAGGGCGCTTCTACCTCATCATGGACACCTATTCGTCGTGCAGGTTGAGCTCGCCACAAGCAGCACTACTGCAGAACTAAAGTCGCGCGAGCGCGCTTCCAAGTAAAAATTAGAAAATTGAAGCCAAACTTTAGGGGTCAGAGTTGCGGAGTAAGCAGTTAACCGCTGCAAACTGTATGACATGAGCTAATTTTTAGATGGTGCGTTCATACTCTGCGTCAGTGCTCTGAGTGTACGCCAGCGTCTTGAGCGGGGTATCGACCCAGCGTTGTGCGCGTACGCCAGCGTTTTCAGCAAGTCGTAAACGCTCGAAAGGCTCCCCTACGCTCAAAATGCCGAATTCCAGCTGTAATTTTACGAGGGACTTGTCACTCGTCAAAGAAGGACAACTGGATAAAGGATCGAGGAGTTGACTCGCGTACTCCAAGCGTGGTAAGCGACGCCACTTTCCACTATATCACCTACGCCCAAAAGACCTGAGTAAAGGATAGAACTTTAGATAATTAGGAAACTACTTCTCCTCTGCAAATTTGCCTTACAAAAAATGCCTTACAAAAAACCGAAACTTTCCAAGTCCTCGAATTAAAAAAGCAAAATTCTCGAAATAACCATTTTGTGACGATGGTGCTACACTAGATTACCTCCGTTTTAATACAGTACTCCCAAGACAGAAAGGGTACCAAAATATTGCCGCAACTGTCAAGCTTTCAAATGACTCCACGGTTTCATTACTGATAACCCCATGGTTTGACTACTTATTAAATTTCCTTGACCATTCAGATGACACTCTTAGGTAAGGGAAAGTAGACAAATGTTGAAGTTAGGGTTAATCCCAGAACAGAAACGTAAACATGTCGACTACTGCAACACTACAACTGAACCTTGGAAACTAAAACAAATACACTGAGAACGTAAGAGAAGAACGACAGGAACCATTAGGATTATTGGGCCACGGCCACGGCAAACAAACTGATTTCATCACAGAAAGCGTTATAATTATTAATGAAAAAGTTACCATTTCATCACCATTCGTTTCTGCTGATCTAAATCATATTCATATGAAAGCGAGCTGCGAGCTGAGTGTTCACGAAGGAAGTCATCGTCGAACTAACCATAGACTAGAAGTATTAAACACTCACTTTGGATCACGAAACGATGACACCCGTCCCATGGAACTCGGACTTTTCATGGAAATTCGTCCAACGATTCGTGTATTCGGCGTCCCACCACTGCCTTCAGCAGCTGCATGAAGAGCAGCCCATTTCTCAGCCAATTCAGCTTCACTGCGGCGCAACTGCTCCTGAAATGAGGAAGATTGGTCCACTCCATATCAAATCACAATTGGAGCGCTCGGTGGAATCCCATTTGAAGGCACAGCCAAGATGCTCCTACGGGTGAGGTTTAGATCCTATGGGCGGGGGTCAGACTCACAACTGTGCCTTACTCATTAGTGCATCTCTTTTGCCGTCCTACAAATGAGTGGCAGGGAAGGGCGCCAGCGAACATCGCACAGTATTAGGCCTGACTCTGCCTACTCTAATTGCACGTGTGTATTCACCTAACATGACTTACAGGAGACGTTCGTCGTGCAAGAGAGTCCTTTCATCCTAAGAGGCAAGCCCAATACTAGTGAACCGTCGTGAAGTGGAGAAGGATAGTCTTGCTCCGTGCTAGGAAGGTCCCCAGACGTCGTGTCCGGTGCGCAGCAAGCCACAACGCCGCTTCCCCCACCTTACACCCTGGATACGGTATATCACGTTCATATGTCCTGAGAGAGCGGTCTACGGACATGGATGTGGCCTTGTGGCAGGCTGTATTACTGACAGGTTAGAGGCCCATAACTGTACATGTCTCCTACCCTGCACACTTTTGTAAATGCACACTGGTTATCTCTCTGCCCAAACTGGCAACTGTCTATCGCCTCCCTCTCACATCGACGTCCGCAGACACTCCTCTTTCAGCGTCGAGACGTGGACTACAGGGAGGGTCACGGACAGGTTTTCTACGACAACCCTACTACTTTGTGAGGATTTTGCATCTGCGAAAGGAGATTATCTAGAAATGCAAACTGGAGGAAGGTTTGCTTGAACATACCCTTTCGACATTCAGCTGGGCCTTCTTGCTGCTTTTGCCGTTCCTGCTCGAGACGTAGCTGCTCAGCCATTTGTTCAAGTTCCCGCCGACGACGGGCATCTTCCTCGCGAAGCTCCTGCTCTTTGCGACGAAGCGCTTCCATCGTATCGGAAGCTAATGATGAAGGTGCCGCAACGTTCTGTGTTCGTTCCTTCATAGCGAGCCGTGTTCGATTTCTGAAAATGCAGTGATTATAGATTAACAGAGTGAATCAATCTGTTTTATATTATAATTTAATTACTAACAGCGATATCTCATTACGGAGGTGGTTGTTTTCGGTTTTCAGTTTAACAACATCACGAATCAGATGGGTCATCGCACGGCGAGCCTTCAGGTTGAGGCCAAGCTGAAAAGGAAACACTCATCAGTATGACAAAATGAAGTTGTCATCCGAAAGCATTTGATATGAGTGAATGGCTTTCTCAGTGATGTTTCCTGTTATTGCTAGAAATGCCCAGCTTCCTAGCTTGGCAGACCGTTTAGTTGCACAGTTCCTAGAAAGGGATAAGTCGCGTTCATACTTGCGACATGAGCGATTCTGCCGCGCACTTTGGGAACGACTGCAACTACCGCGCTCTACAGTTAATCACTGGACTGCAGCGGAATGACTTTCTGTCCTGTGAATGTTGGATTAGCAGCTGCAACGGCCCAAGTATTGACGGTGGATAGGCTGCGGCTCGTTGGGAGACCCACCAGGGAGTCGTAATTGATCACTCGTGAGGGGGGAGAGGTCGTATTTGTTTTGTGAGGAATCCCCCCCCCATGCTCCCATCCCTTCTTAGTTTACCGGTTGCAACCCCTTTCCCCCTCGCTCGACGGCAGCTTTCTGAAGGGAAACTGGGAAACGTCCCCGGAAATTGAAAAAAAATGGAAGGCGATGGGAGAATCTAAGCGTAAGAAGATTGTAGTAGGATAGAAGGGAGGGTCCAGAGTATAGCAGGATGTACTAGATGAGGGAATGTGGGAGGAAAGGGGGAAGGATCGTGGACAGCGCTATTTCACCCATAAATTCCATTACCACTGTGGAAAACTCACAGGTAGTCGGTGGGTCTTTTCATCCACTTCAAGCTGTTCTCGACGATCTTCGCTCTTCTCCCACCGCTCGTCTTCGTCATCACTCTTATCACCGGTCTCTTGTCCAGTACTCATTCGAGGAACGGTTGTGTGCCGCCGAATCGTTGATTCTAGAAGTAGATGATATATTCAGAATTCCGATTTCTCTCGCAAATATTAATTTTTAGAATTTACAAAGTAGATCCACAACCCACGCACAACATCAAATCTGCAGTTTGTTCCACCACCTGGATCGAATGGCAGAAAAGTGCTTAACACTGTTTCAGTACATTTATTGCCAATCAAACCAGATGGCGGAACAGCAGATCAGATACCCACTTTCTCTTGAGGATGTCGACGCACCGTGACCACTAGATGGACCAGTGGTTCCATGGAACGTATGAATACGTCTTGGACGTCGTCCACTTCCACTGCTGTCGCTGCTAGATCCACCTCCATCAGAATCCGGAGTGCCATCGAGTCCCATTTCCGCGGTCACATCGA